AAAAATAATTGAAATCTTGACGAGAATTTTATTAAAATTTTTGAAAATAATTGAGTTTTGGAGAAGAATTTTATTGTTTATAAAAATAATTAAAATCTTGACAAGAATTTTATTAAAATTTTTGAAAATAATTAAATTTCTGCGAAGAATTTTATTCCTTTTGAAAATAATTGAATTTCTGCGAAGAATTTTATTACTTTTAAAAATAATTGAATTTCTGTGAAAAATTTTGATATTTATCGAGATAATTGAATTCTTTCGAAGAATTGAATTAAAATTTTTGAAATAATATTAAATATCTATTATTAAAAAATTCAACTAATTTCAATAGAATTGAAATAAAAATTTTTCAAAAAAATCAGTTGTACAGAACTGTTATTAAAAGTATTGAAAATACAAATTTTCAAAAATTTTAATTTAAAACCTTTTGAAATTCAATTATTGATGAAAATAGTAAATGCAACTCTTAAAAAATTCAATTATTTTTGAAATTTGTATGTAAAATTATTCAATAAATAATTTATAAGCAATAATTTTACAATAGATTTTCAAGAATTAATTTGTTTTAAATAAATTCTTTACTTTAAATAAATTATTATTAAATAAATTTTTTAAATAAATTATTATTTTACTTTTTAATTTTGTTAGTTTTCGTTTTTATTTTACTTCTAATTTTTATTACTTTTATTTTCTCGTTTAATACCTGATTAAAATTTTATTTTCGTTTAGTTTTAGTCTAGTTTTTTTATAGTTTTATTCAGCATTTAATTTATTAATCTATTAATAACAATAAGTAAACCTCTTATATAAAGTAAAAAATAAAATCTAAAAAGCAATTTGAAAAAAAAATCGAAACGGAACATTTCACGTTTGAGGGTAAGAGGAAAAAGAAAAAAAAAAATTTTTCCTGACAGTTCTCCTATAATCCGTATAATAAATTATTTGTCGGATTTTATATTTTTTGACATATTCTTGAGAATCTACTGAAAGAAAGAAGAAAAGATTTTTTTTAAATTTTCACTCTAGCGACATCTATATATAAGACACTTGACAATGTGTCCCATAAACACCTACCCCTCTTGTTATTTCTCTTGAAGAGAAATATTCAAGCTTTTTCTATTGCCCGGAGAATGCAAGTTTCTTTTGAATGTACATAGTAATTTTTATGATAGATAACAGTAAAATATCCTCTTCTCTAATCTTAGAAAAAATTTTTTTATAAATCACTGAGCTTTTCTTATTTTTTATTTTACACAAACTTATTTGTATACACAGTTTGTAGAAACGTTCAATCACGCAAAAATTTTTTCAGAGAAAAAAAATCAACAAAAAAAATTATAAATTACATAATTGTAATTAAAGTGAAAAAATTATAAGTTACGTAATTATCATTTGAAAACTGATATTGAAAATCGGAAGAAATTCTATTATATTTGAAAATCAATAAATTATTCCACAATATTTTTTCTAATTATCTAATTATAAATTATGTAAGTATAATTATTTTTTTTAAATTGTAAATTATGTAACTATAATTCATATTTTTAAAATTGTAAATTATGTAATTTTAATGAATTTTTCTTTAATTATAAATTATGTAATTACAATTACATTTTAATAGAAATTTATTAATAAATAATTTAACAGAAATTCCATTTAAAAATCAGTCAATTATTTCACATTATTTTTCGAAAAACAGGAAAATTATACATTAAATTTTTTTAAAAATTATAAATCATCCAATTATAATTTGAAAATATCGAAAGAAATTCCATTACAGGAAAAAGACGAGAATTTCCTTTCAATCTTAAAATGTAAAAGTTCCCTCGACATATTTCAACAAATAAATAAAAAATAAGAGTTGGAAAAGTTGAAGAGAATCTAATAGGGTAAAAAACGCCCTTTGGGGGTTTTGCATAATTCAACAACTCTTATATTATAGAGGCTTGGACAAGTTTTCTTGTTGATTTTTCGTTTGACTGCTTGAATTTTAAGCTTCGGACTCTGGACAATGTAATTTCAATGCGAAATATAAAGTTGACTTTAAAAATTTTTTTTAACTCATATTTATGAAAAAGATTAAGCAATTTACTTGATATTAAAAAATCCTTTTTAATTACATTTCACGAGGAAACAAAAAATAATTATTTACGCAAAAAAATATTCTTTCCAATTTTAATTCATATAAATCACGATGTTTTATTTCTTACAGAAAAAAAAAATTACTAATTGAGAGTATATGCATAGGAAATTTTCTTTCGTATAATTTCGCGAAAATTCTTAAATCTGAAAAGAGCAATTATCCACGAGGCGACTTTGGCTTTAATTAATATTCCTTTAATCAAAGTTTATTTCAATGATGGGACACCCTCAACTCCTTGCGTTTGTCAAGACTTTTAGTTAATAGTCTTCTTTTTCATTCCAAGAAAATTTTCATACATCCTATATATACGATTTAATATAAAGAAAAGTGCTTTCCTTTTTACAAAAATATATTTTTCCCCCGTTTTCAATTTAAAAACTTTTTCATAAGCGGATACCTCTCCTTCAATTTCTCTCAGTATAGAGAGACATAAATTGAAGACTGTGAAAATTGACAGAAAAAAAGGAAGTCATAAAGCAAAACCTCCAGATCTTGAAAACAGAAAATGTAGAGTAAAAAAAAAATTGACGAAAACATAATTCGAAAATTTTTTTATTCCACAAAAGTTATAAAAAAAGTGCGATAAAGTTCATCTATATAAAAGTAAAAAAAAAAGAAGAAAAAGAGGAAAAGAAAGAGAAAAAGAGAATTCAAAAGAGCAATCTCTATGAAACTATGGGGAAAAAAAACTTTGGCAAATAAGATTCATATATTTGAATAGTATTATCATGCAAATGGAACATATGTTTTGCATGTTGCATTATTTGATATTTGCATGATAATCTAATAACTTCTATGAGCAACGAAACTAATGCTAATTGTTCCACAGTGAAACTTTTTTAAAATGTTCAAGAACCTAGATTGTTTTAGAGGGAAATAAGAAACTTTATTTCCAAAGTTTCTTTCTTTCAGAATGAATTTATTATTACGTTAAAAATATGTCCAGGAAGAGGATATTTTTTCTTTCTGAATTAAAGAAAATTTTGGTAAACTATTCATTGCTAAAAACTAACAGCAATTAAAATAAACAATGGTTGAAATAAACAAACAGTAAATTAAGAATTACACTAACAAGAATTATTTTGAAATAATTGAATTTATTCGACGAATTTTAATAAAATTATTAAGAATAATAATATTGTATAATAATATTATATAATAATAATAATAATTAATCATTCGGAATAATAATATTGAATTAATGTAATTACATTATTCTAGGAATACAATTAAAATTGTATTAAAAATAATTGAAATCTGGACGAGAATTTTATTAAAATTTTTGAAAATAATTGAATTCTTTAAAGGATTTCTTTAATTTTTTGAATCAAGAATTATATTAGAGTTTAGGAAAATTATTAAACTCTTTCGAAGAATTGCTTTAAATTTTTTTTAAAGCTTTTTAATAATTCTAATTTGAAATTTGTACAGTAATTGAATTTTACGAATAATTTATTTCAAGTTTTTAAAATAATCGTGTTTGTTAATAAACATAAATAAAAATTTTATTATTGCGAATTTTATTAAATAATTAGGAAATAATTGAATTTTTGTCAGAATTTTGTTACAATTTTTTAAATAATTAAATTAATACAAGGAATTTTATTAAAATTTTTGAAAATAATTGAGTTTTGGAGAAAAATTTTATTGTTTATAAAAATAATTGAAATCTGAACGAGAATTTTATTAAAATTTTTGAAAATAATTGAGTTTTGGAGAAGAATTTTATTGTTTATAAAAATAATTGAAATCTTGACGAGAATTTTATTAAAATTTTTGAAAATAATTGAGTTTTGGAGAAGAATTTTATTGTTTATAAAAATAATTGAAATCTTGACGAGAATTTTTTAGAATTTTTGTAAATAGTTGAATTTTTGCGAAGAATTTTATTCCTTTTGAAAATAATTGAATTTCTGCGAAGAATTTTATTACTTTTGAAAATAATAGAATTTCTGGAAAGAATTTTATTAAACTTTTTTTTAAATAATTTTTTTAAAAAAAATTTTGTTTAATTTTTTTCGGAAAACTTTATGAAAATTGTATTTGAAATAATTGTAATTCCTGTGAGAATTTTGTTATTTATGATAATAATTGAATTATTTCAAAGAAGTTTATTACAATTTTTGAAAATAATTGAATTGTTTTTTTAGAATTTTATGGAAATTTATGAAAATAATTGAATTTTTGTGAAGAATTTTTTTTAAAAATATTCAAAAGAATTTAGTAAATCTGAAAAATTTTGCTATTTATGTACCTAAATAATTGAACTTTTGAGAAGAATTTTTTTTTCCAGTTTCTAGAAATAATTGAATTCTTTCGACGAATTTTAATGAAATTTTTAAGAATAATTACATTTTTCGAAGAATTTTAATATAAAATGTTAAAATTACCAAAAAGTAAATTTGCAATTTTGCACAAAAAAAACTTTAATTTTCAATAAAAATAAACAAATAAAACGAAACCAAATATGTAAAATAAAAATAAAACTGAAACTAAACTTTTTAAATTTTCAAAAAGAAATACCTTCTTTAAAAGTCGAATTTCCTTATTCTTAAAATTGCAAATTTTACCTATTGCTTCGTTCTCTCTCCGGCCACGATGAATTTTTGTGTCATTTCATTAAACTTTATCAGATTGAATCAAAGTCAAAAGTTCCTTCTTTCTTCCTTTCCTTTTTTTCTATTAAATGAAATTCAAGCGAATCAAAGATTATATATGCTGTTTTTTTTTCTTTTATTCTTTCTTAAAAAAAAGAAAGAAAGAAAGAAAGAATACGCTAGGCGACAAGAAAAGAAATTTTTCTGACTTGCGGAGTGGAGAATCTATTTAATCTTGAAAATCCTTTTCTCTGTTACAGTAACGAAATTCATCCGTATTGGAATTGCTGATAAGAACGACAATCCACCCTATTTCGACAAGGGCCTCTACGAGGCTGAGGTAGACGAAAATGAAGATATTCAGCACACAGTGCTCACTGTTACCGCCAAGGATCACGACGAGTGTAAGCTTCAAAAAAAAAAAATTTTTTTTTTCCTTCTTTCGAATGGAAATCTCATTATTCAATTTCGTATATATGTATTTTTTTTATTTTCAAACTTTGAATATTTATAAAAACTCGAGTAGTATTTTTTTCCTTATCACTGCTGTCTAATTATTTAATTATTTATTTTATTTAATAGAATTTTGAATCCAATGTTTCTTTATTTATTTTTCTATTTTTTCCTCTTCAATAAATACTGAATAAATAATTAATTAATTAAACTAATATTAATGCAAATTCAATTAATATAATGAATACAATTATATATTATTTAATTATTAATATTATTATATTTTCAGAATTTATTGGTAAATATTTTTTTTTTAAATAATTTGGAAAGAATTTATTCACCGTTTATATTTCTTTATTTTTGTATTGATAATTATATTGAATTACCTAAAAAGTAATGTAATTAATTAACAAATTAATTTCTTGATTACAAATTTTATTCCAATTTTTATTTTCGATTTTTGTTACTTTTATTATCTATTATTATATTTAATCAAATTTGCAAATTAATATATATATACACTGAACAAAAATTTCTTGGATTCACATAACTGATTACTTGTCTATTATCGAATAAACATTTACTTAAATTAAAAAATTTCCTTTAATTAATTAAATGTTATTTGCTACAAATACTTAAATTATTGATCCAAAATACAATTTATTCGATTTAAATATAATTATTTGACTCAAGTAAATATTCATTTGATAATTTTACAAAAAAGAATATAATTTTATCGAAAAAATGAAAAGAATTTGGAAATTGAATTAAAATTTATGAAATAAAATTCTAGGTATTAAAAATAATTTTTTGTATATTACAAAAAACTTTATCTAGGAAGTGAGTAAAAAAATCACTAAAGTAACTTGTTAAAATGTCATTATAATTTAATACCAGTATATTACTCTCTTTAGATAGGTAGCTATGATTTTATATTTAAATTTCAAATTTCTCCAGGATTATTAATTTGAATTGCTGATTGCAGACTTTGCTCTTTCTTAAACTTACTCAAACTTCACAAGTTACTATTGTTTTAATTTTCAAGTCCAGTTATTAAAGAAAGAAGACATTTGCAAAATTTTCTCTGTTTTTTAAAACACATTTTTAACTATTTTTTTAAAAACTTTTCCTCAAATTTTCTCTTTTATTTTCTTTCCAAAAGAAAAACAAATTAGAAACAAACACAATAAAAAGAAAATCTTATTTTAAGGCACGAAAGCTGCCTTAAATTAAGATGCAACATTTTTAAGACAGTCAATGTTGAATTTACGCACGTTTTTCGTATCCTTTAACATTATAGCAGACAGTGTTGAATTTAAGGCAGCTCTTAAATTAAGATTTACTTTTTACTGTGAAAGAAAACACAGAAAAAAACGAAAAAATAAAAAAAAACAAAAAGAACAGGAAAAATAAAAAAAATTTTAATATTTTATTTGTAGAAACCTAGAAACTATTGGAAATTTCAATAAAGACTTTTATTAAATAATTTATTATTTAATAATTAAAAATTTTAATAAAAACTTTTAATAAACAATTATAATATGAATTGAGTAATTTATTATTTAATAATTGAGTCTTTATTAAAATTTCCAATTAGTTTCTCAATTCAAAAATAAACAAATATAAACAGTGAATAAATTCTTTCCGCACTTTTTTCAGAAACAAAAATATTAAACAAATTATGAAAATATAATTAAGTTGTAATTAAACTGCAATCAAGTTTTTGTAATTAAATTGTCATTAAAATGTTGGTTGTAATTAAAATCCAAGCTTTGTAATTAAGTAACAATTAATTTGAATATCTCTTTTACTATTCTCTTTTTTATGAGAGACAGAGAGAATTTTTTTTAGATAATTTGTTTGTCTGAAAAACAGTACTTAGTGAAGTTTAAAATTATACAAATTTAACAATTTCACTAAATTATTAACATTATTAAATTAAATATTACTAAATTAATTATGGAATTATGGAATTATGGAATTATTAATTATTAATTATTAATTATTAATTATTAATATTAATAACTTAGTTATGGAATTATATTATGTTTGATTATTAATAAATATTTATAATTTTTGTTAAAAATTTATTATTATATATTATTAATTATTAATATTATTCATTTTTCAAGAGGAAAAAAAAAATTAATATTTTTTTTTTTACAGCATCGCGTATTCGATACGAGATCACAAGCGGTAACATAGGTGGAGCATTCGCTGTCAAAAATATGACCGGAGCCATTTACGTCGCTGGTGCTTTGGATTACGAGACGAGAAAAAGAGTTAGTATCATTTCTTCACAATCTAATCGTAAAAATTTTCTCCTCAGTGTCGAGTTGAAGAAAAATGACTTTATTCAGTGCCAACTTTAAAACATTCTTTTCCCATCGTCTTATTCACTTTAATAATATATTTAATAGTGATCCAGTTACTTTCCTCTACAAATGTAATATATCCATTTAATATCATTTTTTACTCTCGAAATGAAAAATTCTCACTTCACGACAAGTGTGAGAAACATTTTTATATTTAGAATAAAAAGAAAAAAAAGGATTTTATTTTCCTCGCATCAGCAATTTTCAATTTTGAAATATTCTCCTCCCCTATTTTTATATAATTAATTTTTAGAAATAATTTTTATAATTCATATAATAAATTTATATATATTATATTTATATAATAAATAATTATATATTTATATACTTTAATTGTAACTTGATAAAACATTTTTCTAAAACATTTCCTTTTTAAAGTTTTTATTGCTGAAAATTTCTTAGCTTCTTTCAAGCGAGAGTATCTTTACTCAGTGTCAAGTTAAAAAAAATTCTTCTCACCTTTTTCTTTACTCTTCGTTTTAGTTTTGCAAACTTCCTCGATGGTGACCTAGATACCCTCTCTCATCAATATCAAATATCCACCTCATTTATTTTCATGTAAAAATCTTAAAATTATTATATATATAAATATCTTTAAAACTGTTGTCGTTTTTCCAAACCCGAAATATTATCGAATCTCTCCTAAATCAACAGAAAGTGAAAAATCTTTGCTGAATTAATTTTAGAATTTTCTTTACAATATAGATAAAAGGATAAAATATATAAAATATTTTTACATTTTATATATTTTATATATTTTATATTTTTTTAAATTTTTTATATATTTTATATAGGTAATTAAGAAAAAAATATTAACATAAGAATAAAATGAAAAAGAAATTATTGAAATAACTAAATTAATTTAAACTAATAATTATTTAGTTATATATTTCTATTACGAGCTTTGAATAAATTTTCCTTCCTCTTTTCAAAATAATTATTGAAAAATATTTTTAAAAACTTGGAAATAAATTTCAGTGTTAAATAAAAAAAATAGTTCATGTCCTGCGGTGTAAGGAACTTCTCTTTTGAAAAAGTAACTTAAAAATTCTGCTCCACTCTTTTCTATCAGCTCCCGGCACAAAAGAAAATTTACTCCCTAAGAATATTTCCAGCTCCACTTTTCATCAATTTTGCACAAGTTCGTAACTTTAAGGAAGAAAATTGAAAACCTTTTTCAAGCAAATTCCTAAATTTTCCCCTAATAGAAAATGCGAGTATTATGGTAAATTTATCAGAAATATCATAAAACTACCATAAGAATAAGAATATCATAAAATACTATAAAAAAACACAGATAAAATAACAAGAGGGAAAAAATATCACTATCGACAATACAGAAAATTAGAAAAATCCTTTCTTCGGAAAAATATAAAAAAAAACCCTTTTTACCCTTTTTTTTTTTTTTTTTTTTTTTTTTTTTTAGAGGAAAAATAGAAGAAAAATCTTTTTTTTACAAAAAGACAAATATAGAAAAGAAGAATTAAAACAATTAATTATAGAATATTAAATTAATCGTATAATAATTTTATCATTTTGCAGTACGAGCTAAAATTGACAGCCTCGGATAATTTAAAGGAAAATTATACAACTGTCGTTATTCATGTGAAAGATGTGAATGACAATCCACCAGTATTCGAACGTCCCACCTATAGAACTCAAATCACGGAAGAAGATGACAGAAATTTGCCAAAGCGTGTTCTTCAGGTATATAAACTGTGACTTGATAACAATTGTTCTTTTGCGCAAAAACTTTCTCTATAAACCCGTCGGAAATAACGTTCGTATCGTTCGTTTTCGTTTTCAGGTCACTGCAACCGATGGTGATAAAGACAGACCTCAGAACATTGTCTACTTTCTGACTGGTCAGGGTATCGATCCGGACAATCCAGCCAATAGCAAATTCGATATCAATCGTACGACTGGTGAAATTTTCGTTCTCAAGGTACAGATTTATAAATTATTTTTACTTAATTTTTTTTATTTCAAATTCTTTTCTTTTACACCCTTTTTCTAAGGATATCAAAATTGAGACAAAAAATGTATCAAAAATAGTTGCGAAGCAACTGTTTTGATACATTTTTTGTCTTAATTTTGATATCCTTATTATAAATAAGGCAAAGTGTCAATATAAATATGTAAATAAAATTTCTAATTATAATTAATTTATTTCTTTCCAATTGAAATGGAAACTTATAATTTAATAATTTAATTTAATTTGAATTTAATAAGTAAATTATTAATATTAATAAATATTATTACCAATAAATATTGGCAACAAATATTAATAATAAATATTACCAATAAATATTAATAATAGATATTAATATTAAATAAATAATAGTTAATGTAAGTCGAAATATAAAAAAATATTGTTTAAATTTGCCCTACCTACAGTTAATCCTGCCTACCCGATTTCTAAACCTGCCTGATTTTTTTTCGTTCATCTATAAGCGACTATATAATGCAAAACTACTTCTAAATTATGAATCGCAAAGAAAAAATTATCTAATAAGTAAACGGTAGTTTAAATGTAAAGTAAATTAAAAATTTTAATTGTATTTTTGAATCCAGTAATTGTGGCTCAAATTATGAGCCTAAAGGATCCATTCGTACTGGTAACTTCCAGTAACTGTGACTCAAATAATGAGCCGAAAAAATTCACTGGTACTGGTAATTTTTACCAGATTGTGACTCAAATTATGAGCCGAAGAATCCATTTTGTACTGGTAACTCCAGTACTTTGTGACTCAAATTATTATGAGCCGCAAATATTCCCGATTTTCTCTGTCTATAAATACTCCTGCCTACCCGATTTCTACCTTCCCGAATATTATATTTCGATTATTAGCGTCTAGTTAATGCAAAAATATTTCTAAATCACGATCGGCCTGTAAAAAAAGCTATCCTACCTGCCCGATTATTTTTACTTTCATCAAATCGACTATTTAATTGCAAATCTATTTTTAATTTAACTAATGTTCCAATTGACGCTTAAATTCGCCAACGTCGGGCAAATAGAGTCCAGGTCCAAAGATCCGAACTAGGGATAAGCGAGACCACACAACTTTAGCATGTGGAATCGCCAAACAACAGTTTGTTGCTTATTTGTGTACCCTTTACAAATTTTCTTATACAATAAATAATTTATAAAAATAAAAAAATTCATTAGAGTTTGAAGATTTAACAGTTGGATGTAGACAATAAAAAAATTAATAAATTGCGGTAGTATGGAAGGGTATGAAACCGAAATTGTAGTACTAGAGAAATTAAATAAAAAGAAAAAAAATTATTTAAATTAATTATTCAAAGTGTAAATATTAAAAAACAAAAAAAAATTCGTACAAATAAAAAAATAATGCCAACTACATTTGTAAAGAAATCTGTAAAGAGTACACGCAGTAAAAACGAAATCTTATTTTAAGGTAAAGCTGAAATTAATCTGAAAATAAAATTTAGTCTTGACTTAAAATTAGACTCAAGTGAAAATAAAACGTCTATTCACTTAATTTTACAAAGAGCGTTAAATTTATTTTAGTCAGATCATAATTTAACAGTGTTTAAAATCAGCACGAGACTAATTTTGTAGACATTTGAATTTTTCGAAATTGAAAAAAATTCGAAACTATTTTTGATAATTGTCTTAATCTGATTACATTAAAGAGCAAAAATTAGCAAAAATCTATTCTAAAAATCAAAACACCACGTCTTAAAAATAAATTAAAATAAGATTCCTTTCTTCCCTTAAAATAAGATTTCCCTTTTACAGTTATCAAACAAGTACAAAATATAATTCACAATACACAAAATTATCATAAAGAAACATAAACAACATAGTGACAAAGAAATGAATAGTAAAATGAATGGTAAAATAAATGATACTGGTAAATCCAGTAACTGTGACTCAAATTATGAGCCGAAAGTATCCATTGGTACTGGTGACTTCCAGTAACTGTGACTCTAATAATGAGTCGAAAATATTCCCGATTTTCCCTGTCTACCTGCCCGATTATTTTTTCCTTTATCTAATCGACTATTTAATTGCGAACCTATACTTTTAATTAAACTAGACGTTTAAATTGACGCTTAAATTCGTAAACGTCGGACAAATAGTGTCCGGGTGCAAAAGACCCGAACTAGGGATAAGCGAAACCACACAACTTTAGTATGTGGAATCGCCAAAACGTGCCAGGACGTATCTGACACACGAGCTGAAAAAATGATACAATACAAGAAAGACAATACAAATAAGACACAAAGTACATTGGAACCTCGATCGAGTCCAATTTCTCGACGCAAATGTCTACTTGATCGAAAACTAAACAATCTGAGTTGTATAAAAACTTGAATAACAATTTTAATATCTAATTATCAATATTTTTCATTATTTAATTAATTGTAATTTAAACGTCCTTTAAATAAATAAAAAAATTATGTAAATAAGAATTAGAAAATGATACAAAAACTTGATTGTACTCGCATTGAGAGGGCCGGCCCTTTTTTCATGCAACACTAAAGAAAAAATAGAAATGTCACTCGATCAAGGTACCAATATTATAAAGACAATGACAAAACAATGAAAATAACATTCACAAAACTATTAATTTATGTAATAATAAAAATATCACAAAATTAATATATTTTGTCAATGGTGTCACTATGTTGTTAAAATCCTTCCCTGTTTTAAGATTTTGAAATTCAATTTAGTTTAATTTAATTTACTCTAATTCAATGTAATTTAATTTACTTTAATTTAATGTCCCTTAGTTTAAATTTCAAATCCATCAATGTAAAATTTTACTTTACTTTTAAAAATAAAGAGAGAAAATATTTGCAAAATTTATAACTTAAAAGATACTAAACAATTTGACTTTCAATTTTCAAAATTAATTTACTCTAATAATTTTAAATCGAGTTTTAAATGAAGAAAACAAATTCCAAAAATGCCTCAAACAGGGAAGGATAAATAATAAAATTGAAATTTTTAATACTGAGTCGATTGTTTAATCGACTCACATTTTTTAGTTGTGGCATCACAGTTTGTGATGGTCCATATTATGATATCCCTCGGTGGAAGATCCCGCGTTGTGGCGATGGGATCCTTAACAGGGTGGTCACAAAATCTCATTTTTAAACATCCCTAATTTTTCCCCAACTAATTTTTAGTTTCCTTGATAACTAACAAATTATTTAATTACAAAAAGCAATAAATTTTGAATTTATGCGTTCTTTCGATTTAAATTCTTTGACTTTTCCCTAACTTGCGGCCACCCTGATTACAACATCACCTTTTCTTGGGCCACCCTCGAAGATCCCTGGTTCTTCTTTGCACTTCTGCACCAGGTCAAGGGCCACACGGAACCGTGAAATTAAAATTAAAAAAAATTAAGAAACAGACTAAATAAACTAATAAAAAACAAAAAAAAAAAATACGGCAGTGTGCAGGGACCACTTTTCTTCTCCATATTCTTGCTGTCCTTCAGATTGTCCAATTGGCCCACCCTGTAACAAAAAATTTCAGAAGATTAAATTATTAAGTTAATTATTAATTTTAGTTTAATTATTAAATATGAAGTCAATCTTTACCTAAATAAAAATTGTATATTGTCAAATGTTACATCCTTAAAATTGTTTAGCAAAATTTATTTATCAACACAAATTTATCAAACGAAAGCAAAGTAAAAATTTTGTCTATTTCCAAAGCCTTTGGATAGAGATCAACCTAATGGAAGACCCCAATGGAGATTCACTGTTTTTGCTCAAGACGAAGGTGGAGAAGGTCTTGTGGGTTATGCCGATGTTCAAGTAAATCTCAAAGACATCAATGACAATGCTCCCACATTCCCTCAGGGTGTTTATTTTGGAAATGTCACGGAAAATGGCACCGCAGGTTTGTTCTGATACTTTCAAACTGAGAATTTCGATTTATAATTTACCATTTCAATCACTATTATTATTTTTCTTTTCTCGATATTAGGAATGGTAGTAATGACCATGACAGCAGTGGATTATGACGATCCAACCGAAGGCACCAATGCTAAACTAATGTACTCAATCGAGAAGAACGTAATTGAGGAAGAAACTGGTTCTCCAATTTTCGAAATCGAACAGGAAACTGGAGTAATTAAAACTAACGTTTGCTGTTTGGATCGTGAACGAACACCTGATTATTCGATACAAGTGGTTGCAATGGATGGAGGGGGGTTAAAAGGTAAATAGAACAAAATCCATTAAAATTATTATACCAAAAAGGGACAACCCAATAATACAAACAAAAACAAAAAATAGGATTTAAAATACCTAACATTTTCTCACAATCAAAATATTAATCTTATGAAAAGAACAAAATGGAATGGAAAAAAACAATTTCAATTTTCCAGACCTTAAATAACAGTAAATAAAATTTCTCACGAAAATAGAAAACCGAGGGAGGCAAGAGAAGAAAAAAAATAAATAAAAACGAAAATTTCTTTTCAGGGACTGGGACGGCGTCGATAAGAGTGAAAGATATAAACGACATGCCGCCCCAATTCACAAAAGACGAATGGTTCACAGAAGTGGATGAAACTGATGGTCCCGATTTGCCAGATGTACCAATTCTAACAGTTACAGTTCACGATGAAGATGAAACCAACAAATTCCAATACAAGGTAGAAATTTTAACAAAACAAAAAAAAGAGAATAGAAATTCTCGCACATTCAACTTTCAATTAAATTTCATCGACGTTGAAATATTTTTCATCTTCTAAAAACACAAAATTCCATCTCTACTATAGAGTTTATATACAACTATCTTTAACACAAAATTCAATATCGATTTTCGTATTTGAAACCCCTGTAATTGCTTGACTTCATTAATATTGTGCAATTATACTGTGAATTCATGTAAATTTAGCTAAAAATAAATCAATTAGAGATGGAGAGCAAATAATGTTAGACAAATAAAAAACAAATAATACTACATGAAAGCAAGTAATATTACCTAAAAAAAGTAACACTACCTAAAAATAGCAGCCAAACATCCAATTCTATCCAAAGATCATTAATCCCATCCTAATTATCAAAAAACCCAAACTAAAAATCAAGCACAACTATCAAAGAAATTAAAATTAATGATGTACAGTTAAATAACTCCAAACTAAAATAGAAGTAATCCCAAACTTTCCAATCAAATACACAAATTAATTCAACTACCAACAAACAAAAACTATCATCAAAACAATTTCATCCAAACAATAAAAATTCCAGGTGATTGAAAACAGTGGCTATGGAGCTGATAAATTCACAATGGTACGAAATAACGATGGCACTGGATCATTAAAGATTGTTCAACAACTCGACTACGAGGATCAACTACAAAGCAATGGTTTCAGATTTCGAATTCAGGTCAATGATAAGGTGAGAAGAAAATAATACCAATTATTAGCTTAAAAAGGTGAAATTCAAGATCAGAATGAAACAAATAGTATCATTCTCTAATTACACTGTAATTAATTTTGATAGGGTGAGGATAATGATAACGATAAGTATCATGTCGCTTATTCCTGGGTTGTTGTTAAACTCCGAGACATAAATGACAATAAACCTCAGTTCGATAAGGCGAATATCGAAACGACTGTTGCTGAGAATGCCGTTATTGGAAATCATCTCGAAACATTTAAGGCTATTGATCCTGATCAAGGGGGAAAGAGTAAAGTCTCATATTCCATTGATCGTAGTTCTGATCGAAAACGACAATTTCATATCAATGACAATGGAACTGTTTCTATTCAAAGGAGTCTTGATCGTGAGGAAACTCCCAGACATCAGGTAAATTTTTCCTCCTCTTTATGTTCCATTTAATGTACATTAAAAAGAAGTTTAGAAGTAAGTGAAAAAACAATTTTCAAGAAATAGTTTCCAAAAAGAAAAAAAGTACTACTACTACAAGTATAAAAATTAAAAAAGTATAGAAAAGAAGTCTAAAAATATTTGTTCCCTAGGTGAAAATTCTAGCGATTGATGATGGCATTCCGCCAAAGACTGCGACGGCAACTTTGACAGTCATTGTTCAGGATATTAATGACAATCCTCCAACTTTTCTCAAGGACTATCGACCAGTACTTACAGAGTATGCACTACCAAAAAGAGTTGTTGAAATTCTAGCAACCGATGACGATGACAGATCAAAGAGCAACGGTCCTCCTTTCACCTTCAAAATGGATCCAGAGGCTGATGACATTATTCGCGCCAGCTTCAAAGTCGAAAGTGACAACAGTGAGTCACAGAATCCACTATTTTTAATACCAAAACGTATTTTTAAACCAAGTCTTCTCTAATCGAAACACATTATTTGCAGAGGGTGCAAACGGAGACGGAATGGCAATTGTCTCATCACTTAGATCTTTTGACAGAGAGCAGCAAAAGGAATATTTAATTCCAATTATTATCAAAGATTCCGGAGATCCTCTCATGTCGGGTACCAGTACATTGACAGTCATCATTGGAGATATTAACGACAATAAAATGCAACCCGGCTCAAAAGACATTTTTGTATATAATTACGCGGTAAGTTGTCCCTTTTAGAATTTTTAATTTCTAGAAGAAAAAACTTCATCTCTCCTACATAAATGACACAATATCTCTCTACCTAACTTACAATTTTACTCGTTTTCACCATTACTTATCCATCATTAGGGACAATCGCCGGATACTGAAATCGGAAGAGTGTACGTCTACGATTTAGACGACTGGGATTTGCCAGATAAGAAATTCTACTGGGAGAATTTGGAGCATGCACAATTTAAACTCGATGAGAATACAGGAATGATATCCATGAGAGCTGGCACTCTCGATGGAAGGTATAATTTACGTTTCAAGGTCTACGATAGAACGCATACACAAACTGATGTACCTGCTAATGTAACAGTTACTGTTAAAACAATTCCACACGAGGCTGTGTTAAATTCCGGTTCAATGCGAGTATCAGGAATTACTGACGAGGATTTTATACGTGTATGGGACTACAAGGTGACTATATCAAGAGAAACTTTTTTTTCTTGATGCACTAAACGAAAGAAAATTACATTGTCTTCTTCTTCTTTTTCTTTTCAGACTCAAACACTATCTCGAAGTAAAGCTGATCTATTTAAAGATAAACTCGCCAATTTACTGAAAATAGATAAGGAAAAGGTTGATGTCTTCAGTGTGCAGCTGAGAAGAAAACATCCTCCTTTAACGGATATCAGATTTGCCGCTCACGGTTCATCCTACTATAAACCCGTTAGACTCAATGGAATTGTGCTGATGCATCGAGAAGAGGTAACCCAAATAAACACAATTTTTGGATGAAATAAAATGGAATATAGAAAATTTAATTCTAATTGAAAATTTCATTTCAGATCGAAAGGGATGTTGGGATTAATATTACGATGGTTGGTATTGATGAATGTTTGTACGAAAATGAAATGTGCGAGGGAAGTTGTACAAGTACTTTAGATATTAGTAATTTACCATACATGGTGAATGCAAATAAAACAGCTCTCGTTGGAGTTCGAGTTGATGTAATAGCCGAGTGTACTTGTGGTGCAAGGAACTTTAGTAAAAGTGAATCCTGTAGGACAAGTCCCTGTTATAATGGAGGTCGATGCGTTGAAGGTCGATTCGGTCTATCGTAAGTAGACGGATTTTTTTTTGTTGAAGCTTGTGTTTATTTATTGCTATTGCTATTACTATTATTAATACTCCATTTACTAGATGCCAATGTCCGGCGGGATACAACGGACCGAGATGTCAACAGACCGCGAGAAGTTTCAAAGGAAATGGTTGGGCTTGGTATCCTCCTTTAGAGATGTGTGACAACAGTCATCTTAGCTTTGAATTCATCACTCGAAAACCAGACGGATTGTTACTTTACAATGGACCCATTGTTCCTCCAGAGTCTGATGAATCTCTTATTTCCGGTACGAAAAATACTTTATAATCTTTCACAAAACTTTTCAGAACTTTTCGCTAATTTCTCCTAAATTTTCAGACTTTATATCAGTTGAAATTCACAAAGGGGTTCCGAGAATGTTAATAGACTTTGGATCCGGAACATTGGAACTGAAAGTTAAGACCAAAAAATCTCTAGACGATGGAGAATGGCACAGAATCGATATATTCTGGAATACGGAGGTAAAAAGCCTTCGGACTTCACTTACTTGAATATTAAATCAAACTTTCTTCTTTGTATAATTAGTATTTTTGTTTGTACTCCTATTCGTATTATTTATGCTATTTTACTTTTATTGCAGACGGTAAAAATGGTAGTCGATTTTTGTAAATCAGCGGAAATATCCGAATTGGAAGACGGAAGTCCACCTGAATTTAATGATACAAGTTGCCAAGCAACTGGAATAGTACCACCGTTCAATGAATATCTGAACGTAAATTCCCCACTCCAACTCGGTGGTCTCTATTACGAAACTTTCGATCCCGATCAATTCAAATGGAAGCACATTTGGGCGGGCACGAACTTTGATGGTTGCATCAAGAATTTGTTTCACAACAGTAAACTTTATGATCTTGCACATCCGGGATTATCGAGAAACAGTGAGGCTGGTTGTCCGCAGACTGATGAAATTTGTCACAATCAAGAATCAACTTTCCGTTGTTGGGAGCATGGTACATGCGTTGGAAGTTTTGTTGAAGCAAGATGCCAATGTAATCCCGGATGGACTGGTCCAGGTTGCATGACACCAACAATTCCAACTACCTTCAAACCACAAAGTTATGTGAAATATGCACTTTCCTTTGAGCCAGACAGATTCTCCACTCAGATGCAATTGAGATTCCGAACGAGGGAAGAGCATGGTGAACTTTTCAGGGTCAGCGATCAACATAATAGGGAATACGCTATCCTGGAGGTTTGTTTCAAAATTTATTCACTTTGGTGGTGTTGGAGAAATCTGGTAAAAAGTATTCAAAAAATCAATTTCTTTATGTTTGTAGATTAAGGACAGTAGACTGCACTTCAGATATAATTTAAATAGTTTGCGAACGGAGGAGAGGGACATTTGGTTGACAGCAATATCTGTTAATGATGGTCAGTGGCACACTGTTCGTGTTTCGCGATACGGATCGGCAGCAACTTTGGAACTTGACGGAGGCGAAGGTCGTAGGTTCAATGAAACCTTCTCCTTTGAGGGACATCAGTGGCTTCTTGTCGACAAGCAAGAGGGTGTCTTTGCAGGTGGAAAAGCCGAATACACCGGTGTCAGGACTTTCGAGGTTTATGCTGATTATCAAAAAGGTACGAACCACTTTAGCTAAACACCAAAAAGTTAAAGATAAGTTTAGCTTAAGATAAAAAGTACTCACAATTAACCCACACTAAAGATCATCTAATATTCAAAATTTGGACAATTCTAGCCAAAAATCAAGAGAACCAAACAATATCAAGTAATTTCAGTTAACTCAAATTCTAATTAAAACTGAAACTAAACTTTCCATCTACAGGTTGTTTGGACGATATTAGATTGGAAGGAAAACATCTTCCATTGCCGCCGGCAATGAATGGAACTCAATGGGGACAGGCGACAATGGCCAGAAATTTAGACAGGCATTGTCCTTCCAATAAACCCTGCGCTAATGTAATTTGTCCCGATCCTTTCGAGTGCATTGACCTTTGGAACGAATACGATTGCACGTAAGTGGAATAAATAGAAGTAAACCTTTCAAATTAAAGATTACAATAAAAATTACAATCAGAATTTTACATTTTACTTAAAACTATAAATTAAATTTTTTTATAACTTTCTGCAATCATTTGTAATTTCTCTAAAACTCTCTAAATTATATTGTACAATTTACGAACTTTTTGTCTTTTCTCAATCAAATTACAGACTTTACGGACTTTTTTTCAAAAAAACTTACTTTTACGGACTTTGAACAAATTTACGGACCTATTTCGAGCCCTGAAACTATCAATTAAATTTAATTTAAAAAGAGTAATGACAATTCAAGTTTCTGAAAAAGAAAAAACAAAATCAAATTTTCGATTGTCTCAGGTGTGGAGAAGGCAGAATACCATCACCGGACAATAAGGGTTGCATGGACAAGAACGAATGTATCGATTACCCGTGTTTAAATGGAGGACGATGCATCAATCAGGATCCGAGATTCAGATACAGGTGCATCTGCCCCGCTGGATTCTGGGGCGAAAATTGCGAATTAGTCCAAGAGGGACAAACACTAAAATTGGGAATGGGCGCTCTTGCTGCAATTCTAGTTTGTCTTCTAATGATTCTTGGTGAGAAAATAAATTCTACCTCTCTTTCTAATTAATAATCGACAAGCTAATTAATCTAAATATTAATTTCAGTTCTAGTATTGGTCTTTGTTGTCTACAATAGAAGAAGAGAGTCCCTCATTAAATATCCAGGTCCAGATGACGATGTCAGGGAGAATATCATAAATTATGACGATGAAGGAGGCGGAGAAGACGACATGACTGCCTTTGACATCACACCCCTACAAATACCAATCGGTGGACCGATTCCGGAAATGGGTGGCAAATTGCCACCTTGCAAAATAGCATGTACGTGATTCTTTTCTTTTTCTAATACACCAATATTTTCTCTCTATACCCATAGGGGATTTTTTCTGAAGAATTTGTGCTTTTTTTACAGACCCCTTGGGACCAGAACCAAACGTGGGTATTTTTATCGAGGATCATAAAAAGAGAGCTGACAGCGATCCAAATGCTCCTCCTTTCGATGATCTTCGAAATTACGCTTACGAAGGTGGCGGAAGTACGGCTGGTTCCCTTTCATCACTAGCCTCTGGTAAAAATTAAATAGAAATTATCAAAAATTATTATTTACCCTGCAATTATTAATAATTGAAACAAATTTTTAATTTATATTTTTTATCCCAAAGGCACAGACGACGAGCAACACGAATACGAATATTTGGGTGCTTGGGGTCCCAGATTCGATAAACTGGCCGACATGTACGGTCCAGTTGAAGAAAGTGAAGAGGAGGAATAAATTTTCACCAAAGAAGAGAAGAAGAAGAAACTGAAAAATCTGTTTTGTGCTCTAGGTAAAATCTCAAAAGGACGTTCCGAACAGAACGCAAAAAAAGCTCATAAAGTGTTAGGTATACCAGTTATTTCAAGAACTCTAATTACTCGAGACAAATAAATGGAAAAACGAAACAAATTCACAAAAAAAAATCGAATCACAACGGGCATAAAAACTAAAATTTCCCATGTCGCCTGATTGTAAGAAAAATTGACTAGATTTTCAAAACTGCAAATTAATCTAGTCAATCGTGAGTGAAAAATATTGCCAACAAGAAAGAAATTAAGAAAATTACCAAAGAAAGCGAAACGATAATATCCGGTAAAAATCGAATCTTCAACATTTCCTAACAAGTTATTCAACGAATTCTTTTCCTAAATGCTGAAGAATAAATTTTTACTGTTAAACTCAATTCTTGTAGATATACTAAAAAAAAAATAGTTTCGCTTTCCATGTAAAAGGAGATAATTTTTCCAAATATAAATGAAAATTTAGAAATAACTTTTAAATGTATAACGATGAAGAATTAGTAAATCACATATAAAGATGAAATATAAATCTTAAATGTGAAGAATAGGAAAAATATCTTTGAAAATACATTCAAATGAAGAGGAATAACTTCTCAATTCAAGAGAAATGTCTCTTCAAATTTGTATATTTAAATTGTCGAGATACAACTCTTTAATTGAGAAGAAAAAAAATCTTTAAATAAAATTTTTAAAAAATATCTTCCAACTAGAAGATAATAAAAATTTTCAATTTGAAAATAAGAGTAAAAGTAAATTGTCAAAGTGAAAATTAACTAATTTTCAAAGTGAAAATTAATTAATTTTCAAAGTGAAAAAGAATTTTCAAATTGAAAATTTTGCCCCTCAATTTAAGAATTTAAGAAAACAAAAAATCTTCAAAACCAAGAAGATAAAGGGAATAAATTCCTAATTTTAGATTTATCCTCGGAGAATTGCAATATTTTTCACACAGTGTAAAAGAAAAGACGAACTCAGAAACACTTTGAAATATTTAGAAGAAGAAAAAAAAAGGAAAAAGACACCTCATCATACACTTAATCATACATTATAATCATATACACTCATTCATAAAACACTATCGCACACATTCATAATTGTCGAAAGAAAGTAATTATAAACAAGTTAGAAAAACGATCTGGAATGATTGTCCTGAGCGAGTACATTCTAAGATTATTTATTAAAAAAAACGAAAGACACCGGAAAATTTATAGGTTCCCAAAAAGAAAACCTTTTTAAAAACCGGCGCAAAAATCGAACTCTGCAATAATTTTCAAACTCATTAATTAAAAGAAAAATATACCTAAAGGAAAAGAAAAAAAAACAAAAAAAAAAAAAAAAGATTCATAAACTATTTGTATAGTTCGTTACACGTATACGTAGTCATCCCTCGCATTGTGTACGTAACGTGAGGTTTTTCTATGAATTTGTTTTTTATTTATTAAAAATTTTAAAAAAAGAACAAAAAAAAGTACATGTAGTATATCCGGACCATTAAAAAAAAACGATCGTTATGCGTTCGTTATCCATAGACTATGTTACCATTTAAGACAATTATTATTAATTATTAATGAATTTATAAATTATTATTAATTAATAATTATTATTATTAATTATTATTATTAAACGACCATCGTCGTTCTTCAACTCTTATCAAATCTGATCGTGCCACAAACAAAAAAAAAACAACAAGATCTCACAAAGTTGACGAATTTCGAGTTCTTTTATAAAAAAAAATACAACCCCCTCCCCCTACCCTCACTGCCCTCACTTTTTTCATTACTTTTGTATAAAAAAAGTGATATTTGTAAAACAGATTCTTACACAGTCAGTTTTTTAAATCGGTCATTATTATTCATATAAGTAACGCAATATCTCTTCATGACTGAAATTCCAATTGTCATTTTTCCCCTTTTAATAACATCCGAAGAATATCAATTTTATTATATAATTATATAAATAATATACTCCTTTTGTACGCATTTTTTATTCAAACGAATGTTTCATTAATTTCGACCGACATCGAATGTTCTGAGAATTTTCAATTTTCTCCAACTTTAAAAATTCTTTCCGAATTTTAGTATTTATTTATCTATTAGTATTATTTATTTATTTATATTTATAAATAAATAAATTATTATTTATTTATATATTATTATCCATATATAGTAATAAATAAATAAATAATTTATATATATATTTTTTTAATTATTCAGAAGAAGGCGAGCCACTGATAATATTAATTGAAAAAAAAGTGGTGCAAACGTGAAATATTCTAATAGTGATAGTAATAAATAAAAACAATTTCTAAACAATTTAAAATCAGTAATAAAACGAAATAAACAGATACTATCATTAATATTAATATATTAATAATAATATTATTATTAATTATATTAATATTAACGATATTAGTTTACGTTAAAATTCAACTTTTAAAAACTAAATATATTAATTTCAAATTACCTTAATTTAAAAAAATACTAAAATTCAATAGAATTTTTCTTATTCAGAGAAAATTTTCAATAAAAGAAATTTATTTTTTCGGAACATCTATAATTAATTTATTATATAGAAAAAAATAAACGAAATTTGTGACTGAGGATAATTCTACGTGACTGTGTACGTATAATATTGTTACGTTCGATTTAACAGTTTTCCTCACGTCGCATTTTGAATCTTAAACAAACAAAAAAAAAAAAAGAAAAAAAAACACTACTGTTTTTTCCACTCGAATCGACTGATTTGTAAAATTCTCAACGGGATATTAATAGTCAATTTACCTGTTAGGTCACTTATCCATTAAGGGGTACGTAAAGAATAAGTACTGTACGAAATATGTAATTACGTGTATGACACCGTTTGTCAATTGACAAAAAAAAAGAAGAAAAATCATACACGATCAAGTAATTGTATAATTGTCCTAATTATCATCGTAATTACGTATCGTTTTGCGATTTGTGATATTAAGTTTCATATAAAATGCTCGCGCTCGTCCCAAGGGTTTTACTAGTCTATTTTTTAGTCTAAGTTTAGAAATATATTTAAAAAAAACAAACTAGAATTATTAGATTTCTCATTTCCAGGGTATCGATTCAATCTAGTTTTCACTTTTTTTTAGAATTAAAAAATTTTCATTTTACTATTTCGAATATTTTTTTAATTAATTGCAAATTGCTTAATTTAATTATCAACAAAAAATATTCTAATTTAATAGAAATTATCTTTCAAAAAATTTTTAATTATAGCAAAAAAGAATATTTAATTAAAAACCTTTTTATTTATTTACAAAAATATTTAACTTCTCAAAAAACAAATTTTTGAGAATTAATTTTTTAAATAATTTAGTAATTTTTTGCCAAAATTTTCTTTGTAAATATAAATATAGAAACTTTATATTAATTTAATATTATTTAAATATCCAAAAAGAAGTATATCTTTTTCAGAAAAAATTTTGTAAAATATAACTTTTGTTTGTAAAAAATGATTTTAAGATTAAACGGAGAGAGAGAGAGAGAAGGTAATAAATATATTTTCTTTTTGTCTCTAAGTTGCAAATATTTTTAATGCGAAATGAAATCATTCCCAATCGATACCCTGATTATTTTAGAATTAAATAAATTTCTAAAAACTCTTTAATGTATCAATAGGCTTTTATAAATTTCTGCTTATTTTTTTTATTTCCTACAAACTTCCCCCTTAGTTTTTAAATTAATTTTTTTCTTTTAAATTATGTTTCCCCCCAAAAAAGAAAGAATTTCTGTGTATATTAAAAATTCTCCCTTTCTTTTTTATTTATGTAAATTAAAAATTTTTTTTACCCTCTTATTTCTGGCTCTTTCTATTATTAATTTTAAAAAATATATATTTTCTCCTAATCCCTCCCCAATCGATTGTAGTATAAACAGTATTTCCACAGACTGGCATTAGGAAACGAGAGTTTATCGTTAAATCTGAGTTGCGTCGGTGCGTGTGTGCAGTGGCATGAAAGAAATGATGAATTTATAGTTAGGACTCAGCCGTTATGTATGTAAATTAACGAATAATTAAAATTAATTCTTCGATTACTCGAGCCAGGCACCTCAAAAAAAAAAGAGTATACACGCGAATTTTCAACAATTTTAAATGTCCAATCATTATGTAAATATCAAAACGAGGGCACCTATGAAAATCAGAAAAAAAACAAGATTTTATACTCTGAAAAAGATTTTTCCCAATTTTCATTAATCACAACTTCTGTAAATTTTAGAAAAAACAAATGACAAAAAATAATAATTCAATAAAATAATTCAAATAAATAAACCACTATTTTTAATTAAATACCAAAATTTTATGAATTGAAAGTAGAGGAAATGATTAATTAATATTAACATTAATTAATAATAAATAATATTAATTAATATTACTGTTATTATAATTTTTATTATTATTGTTAAAAAGTATTATTATTATTATTATTAAATTTGTATTTTATTGGATTATTTTACTCACAAGTAATTTATTTTCATGAAAGAAAAAAAATATTATACATTTCAATATTTGAAATATTGCTAATTATTTCTCAAAAAAGAAACTTATTTATTTATTGTCAGAAAAATCTTTTTCCCTGTATTGTATCTTAACACTGATCTCTTCCACAATTTTCTGTCCCTAAATCGAATTTTTTTTTATAAATATGTTCAATAAAGTTCAGAACAATCGTTAGTGAAAAAAACTCATTAATCGTAATCTAAAATAAGAAAAGACGCTCAAAGATTTTTTTTAACGATTTAAGGGACAAAAGTAAAAAAAGTGCAATAAAGCCTCGTAATTAAATTCGCGATAACTCAGGGTGGTTATAATATGACAAAGTGCAAATGTTATTTTAACATTTTTAATACAATTTTTGCAGAACTATTTTTTCATTAATTAAAGAAAACAATTTAATTGTCCAATTGCACAAAATACACAATATCACTTTGAGTCAATTGGAAATTATATTTTATCATTTTTCTCTCTTTCTTTACAAGAATATTAACTAACTTTTTTCCTTCTTTCTCTTAGAATGTTTTCTTAACTTTTTTTTTACTTTTATAATTATTTTGTTATTTTTATATAATTATTACTTTTACTTAATTCAGTCTTTAAAAAGTACTTTAAATATTACATTATAATTATATTATACGATTTAATTACTACATAAAAATATATCATAATATATAATATAATAAACAATTATAAAATGATATAAATATAATTACAATATAATTGTATTATATTATATATTATAATATACCAGACTGTTTATTATAATAATTCTAATAATAATAATAATAATGATAAAAATAATAATAATAATTACTATAATACAAATGAATCTTAAATGCGATTCATTCTATTATTTATATTTTAAATAATTTATTCGCTGTGGTGTCAATGCTCGTGAATAACAAAACAGTTCAATTGCCATTAGAATGTCAATAAAAAAAATATATAAATCTACTTTAATTATTCTCTAAATCTGACTAATTCTGACGCTAAATAGAAAACTTATTAAAATTAGCTAATTTACCAATTTTTTTATAATCTTCTTCTATTTTAATTTAGAAATTTTTTTTTATTTTTATAAATTATTTATTTATTTATTAAATTATCAAATAACACAAAATTACCAAAATTTAAATAAATTATTATTAATTTTTCAAAAATTAAAAAAATAAATTATTTATTAGTAAAAATAATTAAGAATTAAATTATTAAACTATATTATCAAATTAGTAAATTATTAAATTTTCTCAACAAAAAATTGTTATATGTAACAAATGAGAAAAATAAAATATAAATTAGGAAATTATTAAATTGTCAAACAATCAAAATTATTAACTAATGAAATTATTAAATATTATTAAATAAAAAAGTTATTTCATTACTGAAATAATAAAATGAACGAATTTATTATTTATTAGGTAATTATTAAATAAAATTTATAATATATTAAAAAAAAACATTTTTTTTCCTATTTCGTCAATATAATTCAGATTTAGAGATCGTGTTAAGAATATCAAGCAGTTTATAGTAGAAATCATGGTTAAATCATCGTTAGAGAACAAGAATTTGTTAATTGCTCATAGAATTAACGAAGTTAAATTTTTCAGATCGTGATAGAATTTACGTAGTTTTTTAAGGAAAATTTTTGAAGTAAATAAGAGAACGTAAGTTATAAACGAGCACGCTCACCAGCTACATATCCTTCAAGTTCTCTAAATACACAAGCACTGCCTAACTAAAAAAAAGAAGAAAAAAATGAAGAATTATTAAATAAAAATGAAATAACGTTCAAGAAAAAAAAATGAGGTGCCATTGGGTCGAGTGAATTAATTAAACAGGTGTAGTAA